TTAGCTCTAAGTTTCCCAATTTTATTCGATAACCTTTTACTTGGAAAAAAATACTGACATAAAAATCAAAAAATTAAAAAAAAAAACACGAGGCCGCCAACAGGGGGCAGGCAAACGGCTCTCAACGGAAGTTGGCTTGTTACCTGCTGCTGGTTGTCTTGCTGGGCGCTGCTGGGGTGACACAGCGATTTGAAGGCCAGCACACAGGAACTGATAACCAGGCAGAGTTCCAGCACGCAGAGCACGATAGCAATGCCGTTGATGGCTTTCAGCAGCATCTGCACAACCACAAATAAAATGTATTATTATTATGATTTAAAAAAAAACATGAGCTAGCTATGTTCAAATTCGCAGACTGCGTCTTCTGAAGGCAAGGAGCCAAAGTGGGACACATTTAGGTTCATTTCAACCCTCTCCAAGTTTCTTTTGCTCAAAGCCCCGAGAGGTCGAATCGCTAATTAGCCCGCCAAATGTTACGAGACGTTGGGAGCGGCCTCAAAACTTGGATGCAGCACAACGTAAGAGCCAGCCTCTCCCTTTGTCCTCTCTCTTGCTCTTCCGGGAACTCATGAAACATCTCTCACTCCTCTCTCCTTTGTTCCGAAGCTCTCGGCACCTTCAGAATTTCTTTCTTAAAATGTTTGTTTATTTTCACGGTTGCAGGTCATGCACGCCGATCTGTTGGTCCTGAGAAGCGACAGGCACCCAGTGTGGATCATGCCCTGCCATTTGTCTGCCTACCAACAAAAAACTGTGGGCACACGCATGCCGAGAACATCTTTTTTGGTGGTCATTTTCTTTTTCAAAATAATCCAAGAAAAGACATGGTGCCCCCTAAAGGTGCTGGGGGTAAATGCAGGCCTTTAGTCCGGAGTCCCTATTACAATTAAATCTGCCATTTAGAGCGACCCGATTTGTGCTACATGGTAATATCAGTTCTGTGTCTGAAAAGAAAAAAAAATGTGAATGTCATCTCATAACATGACAACTTTCTTTTGGTTCTGTATGAAAGTGAGGGTCCACTCACAAGAATGAGCTCTCTCCCCTCCGAGCAGCGCTCCTGGTAGTACTGCTCCGCGGAACTCGGGCTCGGGGTGGTGGCACGCCTTCTGGACCAATAATAGTCATCATTGTCATCATCTCGGCATATGTTCCAGACGTATATACGGGACGCATTGATGGCGTAAAGGACGATGCCAGCGATGGCGAAACTGATTCCTGATAAGTTCAGAAGGGCGTTGAGCAACACCTAAAACACACAAAAGGTACAAATGAGTTATAAAGGAAAAAAAATGATTCACTAAACGATGAATGTTGAATTATGAATGAAAGAAAATGGCACGTTCTCTAAAATACATCATTTTACCTTTAAAAAAAACGTTACGATTCATAAAATATTGTGACTTTTTTTGAAAAGATCTTTTCTTTTTTTCATATAATGACAATGATTTTTTTTTTTAATCTTCGAAATGAAATACCACTTTCTAAATTTTTCCTGGAAGGATGGATGGATGGCGTCGAGTCATTGCACGACCCAAGAAACACGACTCACCAGACACGGACTGGGGAACTTCTCAGAGAAAATGCTGATGGTGCCAAAGAGGATGAACTGTGTTCGACAAGACAAAAAAAAAAACAAACCAAAAAAACAAGTGATCAAAATTTGACATTTGTTGATACTTTACTGATTCTCCAGACCTGTCATTCAGCAATGCTTAGGTGAGCAAAGCAAGTTGTGGAAGGAACTAACCTGGAAGCTTGGCACTCTTTTACACACAACTTTTAAGTTGCATTTTGTTTAAATATAATATATATATATACATATACACATACATACATACATACATACATACATACACACACACACACACACACACACACACACACACACACACACACGTATTTCTTTCTTACCAGTGCTCCCAACCAATGAGGGAAGGCAGTTGAGTCCATTTGCCAGCTGGAGGCAGGCCCGGTGGCCATGAGGATGGCCCCCAGGCCAATATTGAGCAAGCCCACCATGATGTGCAGCGCCCCCAGGACGGACTGAGAGGTCCCCATGATGGTCCTCAGGTGCCGCGACACAGAGCAGCACATGGGGCTATAGCACAGGCCCCCCAATATTTGGCACAGGGGTGGCCAGCTACTTTTGGGGTTGCTGGTGAGCGTCAGCATTGTGACCCCGTCAGCCTTGGTCATGGTTACGGACATCCTGCCTGGAAAAACAACAATGAAACCACGTTAATAGAGGCAAAGCAGCCTCGCCACCAACATGAGGCATCCAGCGCAATCACATTTATGTCACTGGAGCAGACTGTCTTAGCTGAATGTTGAATGTAAACAAACGAAGGTAGTTTCCATTAAATATTTTTTGTCCCGTTCAATAAACAGCACCTTGCCAACTGTGGCTCTCCTTACACATATTTGAGAGCATTACAATACTGCAATTGCCACATTTTGTTATCCACTTCATTCGAGTGTCGGTGTGTATGAAGCTCAGTGTTAATTCAAATTTTCGCTTGCAATAAAAATCAATCAATTAAAATAAAACACACACACACCACAAGTCGTTTTTTGTGCCATTTCCTAAATATATACTTAATGTGTGTATTACACACTGTGTAACAATGGATGAATGTAAGGAGTCCCCCTGGTGACAGGGTGCATCGAATCGCCTATGATAGGTCTCCAGTTTTAGATGCAAAGCGAAAACAAAATCTAAAAGAGGCAACCAGCTTGTTTGCATGCGATTGTTCATTAACCAATAAGTTTACAATGGCGGCGGTTTGTGCGTGTGCGTGTGTGTGTGTGCGTGTGCGTGGTGGGGGGGGGGGTATTTTTCGATGTGACGTCTTAACGTTCTTGACGCGTCAACCAACGACGGTTCATAAACATGCTAGTTTAAAGCGTGACAAATGACAACCAAATAGAAATAAATCAATGTCTTATTCGATTATCTTTTGTTGAACTTTATTTCGAAAAAGAATTTGGAAGTCAGTTTGGCTGCTCGCAGTACAACACTCAGTGCTGCCACCAACGGTCATAACCTGTACTGCATTTTAAAAATCTTGGCTTGTTCGTAGATAGTTAACACTCTTAAAGCCTCCGATCTAACCTCGTACTGCTCTCCAGCTACGAGTAACACTCTCAAAATTCCAAATTTTACATAAATGGATGATCCCATCTCGAGTATGGAAACCAGGATGTCACGCCTCGCCATTGCTTGCTCCCCCACCAAAAACAAACACGCAGTGGAATCCCGTAAGGTCAACAGACAAACGATCGATCAATTATTTTATTTATAACTGCCACACAATGGATCTTACTTGTTTCTTCGTGTAGATTAAGTCGATGGAATACAGTATACTCCGATCAAGTGGTGGATGACGTCTGTTGATCAAGGAGGACTTTCCAGATTCCACTTGTTCCGGGAAAGCGCAAGCAAATGCTGCGTTAACCCCTTGTTTGCGTACGGAAGAGGATTAGGGCCAATGAAAAAGGAAAAAAAAAAACAAGGTTCGCAAGATTCTTACTTTTATCTCAGAATTCTGACTTTAAAGTGAAAATTCTGAGAACAAAGTCAGAAGTCTGAGATAAAAGTGAGACTCTTGCCAACCTTGTTTTTTTTCTTCTTCATTGGCCTTAATCCTCTTCCGTACTAAACACACACACACACACACACACACACACACACACACACACACACACACACACACACAAAAGCAAATGAAAAAACACCCAAAGAAATTGCTCAACAGCAAATCAAAAAGCACAAACAGCAAACAATTAAAACATAAAACTAAACACAACAGCAAAAAAAAAAAAAACCCTCACTCGCCTCCTCTCAACAGTACCTACCCTTTCTGCTTTGCACTTCAGGGCTGCCTGTAAGGGAAAAAGAAAAGAAAAACGAAATTAAATTCCTAGAAGAGACAGGTACAAGTGGGGAAATCCGACTCATTGCTGACTAGAGGAAAGGACCGCTCTTGCCCGCGCTGACCGTTTCATAATTCATCCAGCTGTTTTGGGGCAGTAGGTGGCGTACACTCTGAACAACCATTGACATTCACATACACATCGAGGAACGTTTAGAGTGTTAAATTAACCTACCGTGCATATTTTGGGAATGTGGGAGGAAACCGGAGGACCTAGAGAAAACCCACGCAGGCACGGGGAGAACATGCACACTCCACACAGGAAGGCCGAAGCCCAGATTCCAATCCCGGACCTCTGCACTGTGAGGCGGACAGTGCTCACCAGTCAACCACCGTGCCGCCTACAAATCATCCTGAACTTAGAATATCATGGCTGCAACACGTACCAAAAAAGCAGGGACACGGTCATGTTTACTGGAGTGTTACATCACCTTTTCTTTTAACAACATTCAAGAAACATTTGAGAACTGAGGACATTCATTGGCGGAATTAGAGGTGGAATTCTTCCCCATGCTTGTTTGATGTACAGCTTTGGCTGTTCAACAGTCCAGGGTCTCCACTGTTCTATATTTCAATGGGAGACAGGTCAGGACTGCTGGCAGTCCAGTCTAGTACCCACACTCGTTGACTACGAAGCCACGCTGTTGTAATACGTGCAGAATGTGGTTTGGTTTGATCAAGCTAGCCCATGACTACAATTATTCATGCTCCTTAGTTGTATTTAGCTGTACTTCGCCCCACCCACATGCGAGGCGGGTATCACAACCCCACAAACTGAAAGGACACCAAGTGACAAACAGCGAATTAGCCGAGCGGGACGTTTGGCCGTGGCGAGTCTGTGTCGGCACAATGGACGTTCCGCAAGGCGGGCGCATCCTCGCGATTGCTCGTGATGTTTGTCCGCGTTCTTGCCATCACCTGACGACTGACGCCGGCTCAATGCACCGACTGTGCGCTCAAATGGAAAGCATCACGGCACCTATTCCAACGTTGCCAATGTCCACTTTGTCAGGGCCGTAAAAAAAAAAGAAAAAAAAAAAACAAGGCGACCAGAGAGATAGGAAATCTTTGCATCCGGTACGACGTGTTTATTCTGAAAATGTAAATCAATTGAGAATGTTCAAGGTAAAACAGCCATCGGGTTGAAAGGAGCAATTTTTCGCACCGAGTTCGAACAAAAAAAGCACCCAGCGCTAGCGTCTGAATATCGGGAAACGCGACACGTTAATCATAGCACGATGCACAAAAGTCAAATCAGAAACTGAGCTGTGAAATGCTCGGTTCATTGGGAATTCTGATTTGACGGTTTATAAAATTCGTACCTCATACAACAATTTGCAAGCAAATTTGAACGCAATGTGCGTGATCGTGAAAATTGAATTTTCAGCTCAGGGTGAGGGCGGAGCTTGAAGTTGAGTGACGATACACTCTTCACAGCCTTGTAAAATATTAGCATCCGGCACCCAAGTTTCGGATTGATGAAGAATCCCACAGGCATGTTGGGAACCTGGTGCAAAAGTTTGACAAGAACCCACCAAATCTGATCTTGTTCAAAATTGAACAGCTAGCTGGGTGAAGAGCTAAATGCTATTTTCTCCTCCTTTCAACATGGTGGTGAGTCTCAGAAACCATTTGAAATCATGTCTGGCGTGTACGTGAGCTGCTGTGAATGGAAAGCACACTTTTGACTTGTTTTGTCTTGCACTTTTTGAACATGACGCGCATCTTTCTGTGACAAAGATAGAAAAGCCGCAACCACGTGATTATAGGGCAAGCCAGGGTGTTTCCACATTCGCCAAAATGTCCTTTTTCTACATCTCGGAAACGCCAGCGAGACAAATTCTATTTTGTGAATTAAATCCACCGCAACAGTGCAAAAACAGACGTTATATTCATTTTCAATCTTTATATTGACAATTCAATTGGAAAAACATCGACCGTCACACAAGAAAGAAATATGCTAAATAGGTACATTTTACAATGTTTGAGATGAAGAAAATGTTCAGATATAAACTGCTTGAGTAATGTCTTAGGCAGTACATAATTTGGTCAGAGTGGTTAATAACAGCACATACATTCATAAAGTACGGAATATAAATTTGATGAAGGCGTACCACTTTGGGAGAAGCAAAGACAGAACAATTATCATTCAATGGGTGTGTTAGCTGTGTGCTAATGATGTCAGAAGAGGACAAAATGAGATTTGTGTTCATGGCAACTCAAACTTCTCTGCCATGCCCAAGTGTCACACAAACACAAAGAAGTGTCAGACTTGAGCATCACATACACATACTTCCAATTTTCGGAGGAGTCAGTCATTGAAGTCGGAAGAAAAAGGCCAAAGCAAACCTAAAATGGGCGATTCAAACCAAAAATGGCAGACTTTCTTTGTCTTTCTGGGCGTGGCTTACTGAGGCTTTTTGTAGGTCTATTCTTTGTTGTCTGAATCAAACTGGCTTTGAGGCGGAATTCTAATCAACTTGATTTTAGAGTTTGAGGCGAAAATTGTCACTCCAAGCTAAAATGGCTGAGTTTTAGGTATCACTTCTTGAGAATTTTTTGTAGGTCTAAGCATCATCGACATTCCTACCACATTCCAGGAAAACAAAATGGTAGACTCGGGTCTTTTCAGGCATGGCTTCGGAAGGCTTTTTCGACTCACGACAGACTCGCCGCCAACTTTCATGTGGCAGAGGGAAACTGGCTTATCAGGACAAAATGGTGCGTTCAAGGCACATTAGGGAGCAAAGTGTCGCAGCATGGAGGCGTCAAGTCTTGATGTCAGCGGGCCATTAGGCCGAGTGAAGGCACACGTACAAGTTCTTGTGCTCCTCCCAGTAGTGTAGCTCATCGCTGAAGCTCCAGGCGCAAGCCAGGTCCTTGCTGGTCTTCACGGCGTGGACGGCGCATTCGCCGGGCACCTTCTCGAACAGCATCTCGGCCACGGCCACCACGCCCAGCTTCTTCTGGCTTTGGATCAGCTGGCGGATGTGGGCGCCGTCTACCGGCTCGGGCGAGGAGCTGTAGGACACCACCACGTTGAGTTTGTCGTCCGACGTGGGCACCTGAAAGCGGCTCCTCCCGGCGGGGCAGTGATAGTTCTTGGGGGCGAAGAGGCCCGTGGGCGATTTGAAGACGCGCACCGACCAGCCCACCCAGTCGTACTTCTTCTTCAGCCTGGCGACGATGGCGTCGGCCAGCTGCTGGTTGCTCCAACCTGGGTTGTCCCTCACCAGCCGCCTGGCATCCAGCTCGGCCTGCTTGGGGAAACTCACCACGCAGTCCTCGATCACGGCGTTCATCTTCTCCTGCACCACCTTCATCTTCTCGCCCCAGTCCTTGAGGAGAGAGTCTTCCTCGTCGTAACCCTTCAGGGCGGCGTGGCCGAGGAGGGCGATGATTCCGAGGCAGAAGAGTTTCTTCAGCCGGGCGCAGAAATCCTCCAGGGGCCGGCGGCTTTTCTCCTCGTAGTTGAGGATGATCTCCAGCACCGACTCGCCCGAGAAGTTGTCGCCCGTCACGGCGTTGTAGAGAACGTGCAGGTTCTTGTCGCCGCCGGTCTTGTCGAAATGCTCCAGGAAGAGCTTCTTCTTGACTTCCCGGAACTTGGGCTTGGCGTTGAGGATGTCCATATACTTGCGGAACTGGTTGGTGATGTTCTCCTCCACGGAGAAGTAGGTGGCATCCATGCCGCTCTTCTTGATCTCGTCATGGATGCGTTGCATCTGGTCGGAAATGGCGTCCAGGCGGTCGCGCACCTTCTGGAACTGCTCCTTCATGAAGGTCGCCTCCTTGCTCTCCACGTTGTCCAGCGCCAGCTTGACGATGGGGGCGGCGATGGAGAAGACCGGGAAGAGGTCGCCCACGATGCTGGCCACAACCTCGGCGCCCTGCTCGAAGGTCTCCATCACCGTTTCCACCATGTCCTTCTTCTCCGACACGAGCCTCTGCAGCTTGGCAGACATCTCTGATGTGGGCACGGTTCTAATAAAGACGAAAATATCAAAGGGACTGAAATCATTTCTCATGCGACATTGTCATGCAGTCGCTGGCTGATGAAAAACAAGTTTTGTTTCATGTCGTGAGCATAACGAGAGGTACAGATTTTGCCAGTGTTAAGGTTAAGCTAACATGCTGCGTTACGATTTTCCTGTTTAATTGCTAAGCTAACATGCTATATTGCGTTACTGTCTGGTGAAAAAAAAAAACTGTTTGGTTTTCTGTAACAAAGCCTTCCTGATCTGGTAGCAGTCTCTACATTCAGCACCAGATTCTGAACTACAAGTCATGCCTTCTCCCTCGAGCTTTTTATTGATCCCACATTAAAAAGATCAAATGTTCTCCCCTATACAAGCAAATAGCCGCTCCTCAAATTGAGATTAACAAGAGAGATAGAAAGAGCGCGGTCAAAGCCGCTGAAGGTCCAAGTTGCCACAGCAACGAGGCAATGGAAAATAACTCGTCTGCCCGGCTTGCTCCAGGGGATTTCGTGACGGACAACAGCACTCAGGTTGTTTATGTTGCCCAGTCTGCCATGCGTAGCTCCCATCATATCCTGCGGTTATTACTGTGATAGCTCTGATTATGAACACTGAGCAAACTCTCGTTAAGTACACCTGATGACAAGACACTTTCTTCCACAAATTTTAATCATTTAAATTTAATTTGGAGGAATGACTCATCAACATCATGTCATTTTATGTTGTAGACGATACTGAAGTGTTTCCACTTCAGTGGCTCACTGCAGAGGGTTCAACTGCATTCCATTGAAAAGGTAGTAAAGTGTCCCTATTCATTTTAAGTTCAAAACAAACACATGCGGGGAATTTTGCAACAAGTTAAAGACACGAGAGGTTCACATTATTAGAAACATTAAGTCAACCCCACAAAAACACATTATACATAATGAACTGGCTATGAGAGTCATTGTACGTGTTGTTTCTCATGCGACTCGTCACAACATGCAACGTGTGTATCCCTCCCGAAAGCGCAGGAATAATGCACATACTGTAATATCCAATATTGTTCAAGTGGCCATGTAGTCTCCAAAACAATATCCGATCATAATGGCACTTAAGGGAGAGCTGAAAGCCGACAGGCCGTTAATGAGCTCTCGTAATGGGCAAAGCATCGATCGACAAGCTGAAAGCCAAACATGGCAAGTTAACAAGATTCTTCAAACCGCACACGAGCAAAACTTTCGCAGACGCAAAATCAACACACGACAGAAGCACCAAAATCCGGAAAGTGACGTCATAACCAAGCACCGATATGACCAACGCCCAGTAAAGTTGGACTCAACACTTAAAAAATATATATATCGTTCTGCTGCCAATATACTGACTTCGACCACTTAGCGTCAGCAAAAGAAGCCACTCTCACAAATTAAAATCTTTTTTCTAACAGAAAGCACAAAGCGTTCGAGAGCGCAACAATCATCGATCAAGTAACAAGACAACTACACCAAGTCGATAAAAGTCATTTTGAAAAGGTCGGCAGCAAGCCTACGCGGGGAAATGTTGATTTGATTAGCGATTTGGTCGTACTCACCTCCTCTAAAAGACACAACAACAAAAAGTTTAGAAGATAGAAGACGGCAAAAAAATTCCACCACGGTGTACTTTCGTGTTCCGGTCACGTGATTTAAGCGCACCGTTTTGGGTGTGACAACGACTGACGTCATCCTCAACCTGCCCAACTTCGAAAACTAACATTAAAAAACTTTCATGGTTTCCATAGTCATCATGAGATACATTTTAATGTTATATTAAAACTTGTTTTACAAAGTGCATGTAACACAAATTTTCACATAAAAAAATTCAATCCAAATTTTTTAAAACTTGGTTAACTAAAAATGATGTAACAGTACATTCATACTGGAACTGTCGTGTAAAATAACTTATTTCGGAAAGAAATTTGGACCGTGCCTCATTTTTTTTTACAGTAAATGAGATGAAAGAAGTTACATTCCAAAATTTTTATCGATGTTAACTTGTGAGACCGTTTTTAAAAATTACATTAAAACATATAACTGAGCTGTCCCTGAGATATTCGCAGTGTGTGTTTGTGTGTGTGTTTGAAAGAATTTGATGTATCTCTACTTTCGCTATCTGGTGCTAGAAACAAGTGAGCTCACAAAACTTTGATAGTGTTCTCCATTTTAACGTTTCACTGTTCCTTAATTTTTACTTATGACCCCCGGCATTTTTTATTATTAGTTTTTTAATGATTATTTTTGTCGATTAATTAACGCAGTCACTGCTGATATGATCTTTCCCCATACTACATTCCATTGTTAAAGGTCAGCTTCAATATAGTTTTGGGGGTGTGGTCATAAGCCAACTCTGTGTTTATATTACCAACTCAAAAAGGATTTATGTTGTGGTACATTGGACCCCTTCCTCGAATTTTCCAAAACAGAAAATAACCTTCAAGCCTTTTGGTCTTCTTTTCAGTTGATGTCTTCTAGCTTTAGGCTTTCGCAGGTGGCTCCTCTTCGTCTTGTGAGAGTAAATAGGAAACAGTACGCTAAAAGGCTTTAGGTAAGAAACCAACAATAGTACTGTTGACACAGTCAACACAAAAGTTTGGCAAGAAAGCACTTGGCTGAAGCCTGAAAGTTTCTAAATTGATCTTTTTTGGCAAGAAGAGGGGACACGATTAAATTCACGACACAATGTAAAAACAGAACGCTACATTCTTCAACTTCTAATAGATTCACTTTTTTCTGCTCTTTAGTCGTAGTAGAACATGAACCCTGACCCCCGAATGCTGATGGTATCAACCGCTTTTTTTTCAAACGCTGTCCAAGAACCACTGCTCACTAGCAAACAGACCAAAACGTGCCCATCTAAACATACATCTCTCATTTGCAATATTCCAGGTTGCTTCCACACACTTCCAGTGCATTTTTCTTGAAAATCAAATGACAAATTAGTTTGGTGTTTTGAAAAATCAGCATATTTTTAATGGAACATGTATTTATGTAGATTTTTTTTTTTTTTGCACAGGCAGTGGTTCTGTACATTACATTCTTCAGAAAAGAAAAAAAATGTTTTTTGTCCATCGAGAAACATATACCTGAAAAGGAAAACAAGTTTGAGAAAAACTAAACAAAGGGCAACGTTTAGAACACTGACAAGAAAACAAACATCACAGTGATTCAAGCATGTTAGATCGATCTTGGAAATCAAATGGGGTCCTGGGGTATGACAACAAAATCTGAGGGATATTCTCTTTGGTGTCTTCTATCGTCTAGGAATGCTGTGACGTGAATGTTTATGTAAACAGGAGGTCTGGTTAGCTGCCGCGCGGCTATTTCCATCAAGCTAAAACATGCTTAACTTTTGTACGATCGCTTTTTGTTGTTTGATGAAATTACAGACTCGTCTGACGTACACTTTATTTGGAAACGTTTAAAAGGAGAGATATCATGATGGATGTTTTAGCGATTTGGTCGTACTCACCTCCTCTAAAAGACACAACAACAAAAAGTTTAGAAGATAGAAGACGGCAAAAAAATTCCACCACGGTGTACTTTCGTGTTCCGGTCACGTGATTTAAGCGCACCGTTTTGGGTGTGACAACGACTGACGTCATCCTCAACCTGCCCAACTTCGAAAACTAACATTAAAAAACTTTCATGGTTTCCATAGTCATCATGAGATACATTTTAATGTTATATTAAAACTTGTTTTACAAAGTGCATGTAACACAAATTTTCACATAAAAAAATTCAATCCAAATTTTTTAAAACTTGGTTAACTAAAAATGATGTAACAGTACATTCATACTGGAACTGTCGTGTAAAATAACTTATTTCGGAAAGAAATTTGGACCGTGCCTCATTTTTTTTTACAGTAAATGAGATGAAAGAAGTTACATTCCAAAATTTTTATCGATGTTAACTTGTGAGACCGTTTTTAAAAATTACATTAAAACATATAACTGAGCTGTCCCTGAGATATTCGCAGTGTGTGTTTGTGTGTGTGTTTGAAAGAATTTGATGTATCTCTACTTTCGCTATCTGGTGCTAGAAACAAGTGAGCTCACAAAACTTTGATAGTGTTCTCCATTTTAACGTTTCACTGTTCCTTAATTTTTACTTATGACCCCCGGCATTTTTTATTATTAGTTTTTTAATGATTATTTTTGTCGATTAATTAACGCAGTCACTGCTGATATGATCTTTCCCCATACTACATTCCATTGTTAAAGGTCAGCTTCAATATAGTTTTGGGGGTGTGGTCATAAGCCAACTCTGTGTTTATATTACCAACTCAAAAAGGATTTCTGTTGTGGTACATTGGACCCCTTCCTCGAATTTTCCAAAACAGAAAATAACCTTCAAGCCTTTTGGTCTTCTTTTCAGTTGATGTCTTCTAGCTTTAGGCTTTCGCAGGTGGCTCCTCTTCGTCTTGTGAGAGTAAATAGGAAACAGTACGCTAAAAGGCTTTAGGTAAGAAACCAACAATAGTACTGTTGACACAGTCAACACAAAAGTTTGGCAAGAAAGCACTTGGCTGAAGCCTGAAAGTTTCTAAATTGATCTTTTTTGGCAAGAAGAGGGGACACGATTAAATTCACGACACAATGTAAAAACAGAACGCTACATTCTTCAACTTCTAATAGATTCACTTTTTTCTGCTCTTTAGTCGTAGTAGAACATGAACCCTGACCCCCGAATGCTGATGGTATCAACCGCTTTTTTTTCAAACGCTGTCCAAAAACCACTGCTCACTAGCAAACAGACCAAAACGTGCCCATCTAAACATACATCTCTCATTTGCAATATTCCAGGTTGCTTCCACACACTTCCAGTGCATTTTTCTTGAAAATCAAATGACAAATTAGTTTGGTGTTTTGAAAAATCAGCATATTTTTAATGGAACATGTATTTATGTAGATTTTTTTTTTTTTT